GGTCTGGTGCTCCTGCTATATATTTTAAAATTCTTGATAAAATTCAAAGAAGAATTTGCAATGTTATTGGTTCTGATCTGGCATCTCAGATCCAGTCACTTTCCCATTGCCGTAATGTAGCTTCCCTGTGTCTTTTTTATAAATACTTTCATGGTAATTGTCCTGATGAACTTTCCTCTATGGTACCAAGATTTTATGAATTTAAATGCAGTACTAGATTAGCAGCTAGGTCTCATTATTTTATAGTTGAAATGACAAGATGTAGCCTTAAGTTCTATGCTAATAGTTTCTTCCTTCTTACTTCTCGCTTGTGGAACATTCTTCCGGTTTTTGGCTTCCTAGTCAACTTTGATTTTCAAAAATTTAAATGCAATGTCTCTTGTTATTTTCTGTCATCTTAATTCCTGTTCTTTTATTGTTCTTGCTCCTTAATAGTGTTTTTTGTTCCTCATGTTCTCTAACATACAGTAACACCTTGCTTGAGGAGAAATCTTTATTTTGTTGTGGCTTTCTTCATAAAGTTCTTTTATTTTCTTTATCCCTTTGGTTTTTTTCTTCTCTTTTTGCCTTTCTTTTAAATTTGTTTTGCTTTTTTCACTCTCTATTTCCTCTCTTTTGTTTTTTTCTTATTTATTTCTTTTCTCACTCTTTTTTTCTCATGTTATATTTCTTGTTTTCCTTTTCACTTTGGATTTCTTTTCCCCTCACATTTTTTTTTTCTAATCTGAAAATATGTTCTATCTTTTTAAGATTTGTTTATTGTTTAAAACGGGCAACTGCAGCAAAATACCACAAAATGCTTTCCTAACCAAAACAATAAAATGAACTTATTGTTTGCTTACATACATACTGTTCAGTGCATTTTAACTTTGCCACTCCCCACAGGTGTAAAACCCATTTCCTACTGGTGTAAAACAAAGAGATATCCATTTACTGACCACACTTCATGCTTCACAGTAACAAAAAGAATATATGTGTTTGTTTTTGTGTGATCATGCCATTAATTCTATTTATGTATTTTAAAAAAAACACATTTGTTCAGCTGATCTCTTTTAAGAGCTAGAACTTGTCTCTTATTAAAGACAGACAATTGTTTCTAATTGTTTGTTCTTTGTTATTGATATCACTGATGACAATTGTTAACTTGAGGAATTCTAGATCTCAATTGTTGTATATTCAAGAATGGAAGATATGTACTGTAATTTCTCGAAAATAATATGCATTTTTTTACTATAAATTACAGGTGATAGTAGGGGTGCATATTATAAATAGGTTTAAACAAAAATATTTTTTCGTCATTGATTTATAATAATAAATATGTACTTGTTGTAAAATAAGATATTATCCCAATTTTCATTTTAAATCCAACAATAATAATTGTAACATTTTTTGGGTTATGGATGTTCTTCTAATAGATATATCAAACCTCTTCATAAAAAGAAAACACCAGTTTGCTGAAGCTTTAAATGTGTTTCAAGGATACATGGTTTTCCCAAGTTCTTTTGCTTTCATCCTTATTTCCACAGTATTTATGGAACATCCACTTGATTGTATTTCTTTCACAAATTCAACTAAACTTTGTTCCATATCTGGATATTGAGCTTTTGTTCCTCCACCTATAGCTTTGGCACTTGATTTACATTTTTTTAGTTCATTTTTATTCTTTCTCCATAAATGTATGTTAGCTTCATTCAACTTATATTCTCTAGCTGCAGCTTTGTTTCCTATTCTTTCTGCTAATTCTATTACTTTTTGTTTAAAATTTGCACTATAATTTGCATGTTTTGATGACATTTTGGTGGTAAAATGTTATATTTATTGGTAAAAACTGCATGGTAATTTTCAACATTATTTTAGCCGTTTAGGTTTGATTTTATTCTTAATGTCAAGGTTGATAAAATGTCTTTGTAATTTTTTTTTTTTTTAACAAAATTTATAGATGTGTATTATACATAAGGATAGATATATTTCTTAATTTTTGGATCATTTGTTGGGGTGCGTATCATTTCTGTGTGTGTATTATTTCAAGAAATTATGGTAAAAGGATTAAAAAGCAAAGAAACTGGACAGTATTTGTCTGTTAACATAGAGTTTTATTTCGGTGTTGTACACATGCTATAAAGGATAGGAATTTGTGGAGAGGTGTGGTCACCCATGTTGTAAAGGGACACAACTCCTAAAAGAAGACTCATGATTGAAGATATGATTGCAGTTGATTTAAGTTGGAAAAACTTAACCTGTACCTTTAAGGATTTATGTTTTTTTTCTTTAGTCCATCAACCAATTTACTGGCTTGTTAACCTGTATGTAACTTTCCTCTAAACAATCTGTTTTTTCTTTTTTTTTTTTTTTAACTGTTCATCTATCTAGTCCTCTGTTGGTACAATAGGACCTTGTTATTTGCAGCATGATGGTTCCCCGCAGGCAATCATGAATTATATCTTGCTATGTACAAAATATTTTACTGTACTTCCTCAACTATCTGGACTTTGTTTATCTAGATATTGAATGAAAAGAAAAAAAGTCATTTGAACATTTTTCAGTTATCTGAAGTAGACCCATTCTAATATTTAATCTCAGACAAATGTTTTGAGAATTTAGAAAACCATATTCAACATTTGATAAAAATGCTGATAAAATAAGTTTAATTAATTCTTGTTGGAAAAAATTTAAGAAGGTCAGGATGATAATGATATTGCTAATATTGAAGTTCAACAGCCCCAATGCCCAATTACAAACACTGAAGCAATTATTACATTTGACAAATGTTAAAGTTGATTATGCCTTCAACCAGTAAAGCTACTCTTATAAATTCTTTAATCCAGTTTCACAAGGCAGCATTGAAAAATGAGAGGCCAGCCTGAAACCATCAGAAATTGATTCATGTTTTCAGCAAATATAAACTAGACAAATTCTTGGAAATGTTATTTCATGATAGGAATTTGAAATTTCTTTTAAAAGATTAACTCATCTTTTTTCATTCTTTTGAGAATTTAGGTATTCAATTATCTTGAATTTTGAATTATCTGAACTTATTTTTTCAACCCTAGTCCCAACATATCTGGATAACTAACTCATTTATAAATTCATTTGACCAAAAAGTGATAATTCTGCTCTCTCAACAAAAATAAACAACTTTGGCAAACCAACTGTTCAAAACCTGTCAATGTAGTTTTAGATTAAACTTTGAACATGAAAATTTTAGTAACTGGACCAACTGTGGTTAGTGACCTGAAGATAAGGTCCTCATGGGTGACAATTTCAGAAATTGCAACATCTTGGTGTAGATCTGTCTTCATTAGTTTGTTTATATTCATTTTGGTTTATCAACCAGTTTATTACTGAATCAACTAGTCAGTCTTTCTGCCTATTGCTATGTTAATCTATGCCTCATTCCATTTATTTACCCACCCAGCTAAAATCATGATTTCTTGTAATTCCAGCAGTTTAAACCATATTCCTCTAGTGTTATATATATAATGAAATGGACTAAGTCCTACAATTATTTTAATACATTTATTGTTTATAAATTATTTTTATAGATACAAATATTTAAGTAAATGCTCTGTTTATAACAAACAGTATTAGTGATATTTACTGGCCTGAATGTCTAAGAAATTTCATACAAAATATGTGTCCTCTGAGAGGAATCAAACCTGTGTCCTACACAGAACTGTCATATAGCCTGTAGCTAAATTAGCATATAAACACTATATATATATATATATATATATATGTATGTATGTGTGTGTGTGTGAGTATATGTATGTAAAAATTTCAGATGGCGTATATCTGTAAAAGGACTATGAATAAAGATAAAAGGAAAACTTATTTTAGCCAATGCATTTTGTCCTCTGAGAGACTATCAAGGTAAATGCAAGAATTTTATTTTGTAACAGGTATTTATATTATTATAATAGGTATTGTAATATAAATACCTGTTACAAAATAAAATCCATGCATTTTCCTTTGTAAAGTCCCACAGATGATGAAATGCATCAGCTAAAATAAGTTTTCCTTTCGTCTTTATTTATGTGGATGTATATATGCAAAGCAAAAGGTATCAGTTTAAGCTGATGCCAGTAGGATATGAGTTTAGTGAAAAAAGAAAAATATTACAATATTGTAATACTTGTATATTGACATTATATATTTGGTAATCCTTCACATAAGCTCTGTAAAATAATCTATTTTATATCTTTAAATGTTTCTTATTGTAAATATCACCGTGGTCAATGGCACATGGCCATTGGGTATTCAGTGGTATTGAGCGGTGTTTGGGAAAGTGTTTTTTAGTTGGTGCTGGATTGGTGAGCAGAAACTCTGAAAGGGGCAATTGCGCAGTATATTCAGCCTGGAAGCTATATTGTTTCAGATGGCTGGGCTGCTTATGCTGGAATCAAAGCAATCAACTGTGTACTCTCACAACATTGTTGTTCATCAGCATGTTGTGGATCCTTCAGTACAAGAAGTCCTGTATTTTCATCATTTATTTGCTGCATAGTCCACCATTACATATTATTATATTGTTTGTCATAAATGTATATACCTTGTTCTGTTTACACTATTTACATTGTTCGAACTGTTGTCCTCATCTTTGTCATATTCATGATGTTTTGTCCATTGTATGCACTGGCCTTCTTCAGGTGATATATGTTGGAATTTTAAATGGAACATTTAGTCTGCTGGGGTAGATTGTTCTAGTTCCATGTGCCCCGCTTTTCTGGATGTCTCGGTTTGAAGAAGGCCAAAGTGTACAACAGTCGAAACGTGGATATGACAATAAAAATGAGGACAACAGTTCGAACAATGTATTGCAGTTATTTACACAAATAGTTACAATACCTCATTTCAGAAATATAGGCATTTTATGCCATTCAGGGAATAGCAGTTTATTTTACACCACTTAAATGAAGGATTACCATATATTTTTGTCTTAAATTCTGTTATATCCAAAATTTATGTATTTCTTTTTAATTCAATTTTTTTTTTTATTTAAGGTCAATTGACCGTCACAAAATAAGCAAAGATATAGAATCTTGCAGCAAGGTCCTTATCTCTTTGATTCAGCAGTCAGAAGATAGCAGATCGTGGCAAGATTATACAGCAGTTATTCTGGCTTGCTACATTGCTTGTATAGAAACAAGAATTGCCAGATTGCTAAAAAAGGTAAGAGTCAAATTTTGAACATTTTCAGATGACTGGTTATTATTTCATGATTATTTTGTAAGTTTCTTTAATGTAGAGTTTTTTTCTATTCTTATTTGTCTTCTTGTTAGTATTTATAATAATATATTATTATATTATAGTTTAAGTACTAAACCAATTCTCCATTTCCCATCATTTTTGATTGATGACTTTATGATTACATAAGTAATAAAATTGTCTCTTGCAGTATTATTACAGTATTATTATCTTGACTATGTTTTTATTACAGGTATGCAAACTCTTATGTGAAATTCTAAAAACCAAACATTTTCCATGCAAAAAAAAAAATTATACTACTTACACATATTTACCATGATATAATTCCATGGATCAATTAGGATTAATGTAAAATTCTACTGGACACAAAGTGGGGTATCGTTATTTTTTTTTGTTAGTAATAGATTGATCCTACTGGACTTAATACAAACTCATGTGAAAAACTCATAAAAATAATGACTTTACAAAGTATGTTGTCATTTTTCATGGGGTGTGTATATTAGTTATTAAATAATTAACAATATATTACTTTAAAATATTATCATATTAAATTATTATTATATTATACTAAAATATTAACTCTAAATGTTATTGCTTTCAAAAAAATATTAAAACAAAATCAGTAATTTCAATTTGAAATATAAAAAGAAATTGGCCTTGCATTTATATTATGAGAGGAAGATGATTCCTTTCTTTAAAAAATAAAATCCAAAATGTTATTTATTTACTATAATGTTCAGTGTATAATGTTGGCACAAAATTAATAAAATATTAAATGTCCTATTAAAAATTTTTGTCAGTTACAAAAAGAAAACCAGGAGATATTCTCTGAAATCCTGCTAATCTGTGATCATTTCTAGTAATTACCACTTTAGATATTTAGCATGGTTTAATTTGGTACAGAACCACAAGTATGTGAAGATTGGACTCAGTAAATAAAGAAGGGAGTCTAATTTATTGACTCTCATTCTATGTCAGGCACCCCTTCATAGATATTTATGAAGTTCAGCATAGTCTTGTAGAAGACAACAATTATGGAGGACTCAGTGGAACTTGATTTCACTACACTATTAATCTACTGTATTAGCTCACTATCCACTAGTCCACTAATAATCCATATAGGAGAAGGTGCTGAAAATTTTCTAACCAAACCAAAAAGTCATTCTTTTTTTAAAAAAAAACAAAAACAGTCACTCAGTCAGATTTTGAGAAGTTGTATAGGCTGAGGGCTTTCAGAACCCCTTTGTGCATCTATATGTGTTATATATGAAAAAGTGATGACATAGAAATCAATACTGCATGGTGATTAGCAGTTACATGCCTTAAGCAATCATTCAACCATGTATCACCCCACTTAGTGCAGGCTCTGTATTGTCGAACAATCACGTGGTCAAGATAAACACTCAGTTGTGGAGCAAGCTGAGTGAAGAATGATTCAAATTGAGGAAGAGAGTTATTTATGGTGCAATGGAGCATCTCATTATGCTAAAGTGGGATAGTCCATTGCTTGGGCTTTGATTGGCTGCTGGTACCTGAGTGGAAGTATTTCTATAAAATACCAGCTTAATTTCAGTTAGTTTGCAGGGTTTGTATTAGGTTACAACCTGCTTTATTTTTGTCTGCCAGCTGGACGCTAGCTGGAACTCTTACGCCGGTAAGTGTCGTTTATTGTATTGTTATTCTACATCTCCTTCCCCCCATCGCGTGTTGGTAGTGGCCTTTGGGGAGGGATTTGTTCCTTTAAACCTGGCTGGTTGTGTGGAAGTAGTCTGGACAATGCCCGAGGGGTTTTGTCCGTTTATTGTAGACGGCTGAGCAGTGTTTGATGGTATTCCAGCGTCGAATGTTTGTGGCAATGGTGTAGGGATCTCAGGTAAGGCACTAGGTCTTGAACTGGAATTGTTGGTGTATCCAGTTTCCTGAGAAATCGGCGATTTCGTAAGGTAATTCTACCTGATCCGTCAACTCTGATACGGTATTGGTGGTTGGGGAGGATTTCAATGACCTGACCTGTTGTGTCCCATCGACGGGTTGTTGGTCTTTGTAGTGCCACTATTTGTCCTTTTTTGAAGGGGTTTAAAGTGTGTGCTGTTCTGTTGTATCTCTCTATGAGATGTGCGTTCCGCCGGGGACAGACTTATCTCACGATTTTGGGCTGCGGTTATCCACTTCGCGTGTGGCTTATAGAGTGTGGGGTGGGATGGTATGTAGTCACGTAGTCGGCGGTGGAGTAGTAGTTGAGCAGGGGATAGCCCAATGTTTTGAATAGGCGTATTCCTGTATTGGAGGATGGCTCTTGCTGCATGGTTATTATCCAACGATCCTTGGGCTCCTGTGTTGCCATTTATGATTCTTTTTGGCTGTTTTGACAGCGAGCTCTGCTCGACCATTGGATTGTGGGTAACCAGCAGATGATAACCTTTGTTTAACAGCCCAGTCTTGCAAAAATTGCTTGAATGGAAGAGATGTGAAGGTGGCCCACCATCACTGCTGAGTTCCTCAGGGCGCCCGTGGGTTTTGAAATATGTCTCGGCAAATCGAAATAATCCTTGAGGCATTAGCTTCTCCGTGGCTCAAGTGGTATAGATTCAGCCAGCCCGTTAACCTGTCAGCGCATGCTAAGTAACCATGGTTTCCAACATGGAAGATGTCCATGACGATTTGCTGAAATGGCCAATCAGGAGATGGTGTCAAATTGATTGGCTCTTTTGGTTGACTCAGGGCAATTTTTGAGCAGAACGTACAACCTGCTCTAATGTTACAGAATTGAAGATTCATCCCGGGCCAATAAACAGATTCATTGGCACGTGCCTTCATGCCAACTTCTCCTTGATGTGCAGAATGTAGGCTATGTAATATTTTTGCGCGTTGTGAGGTGGGGATAACAATTCTTTGATCTAAGAGCACTAACCGTCGTCAACACTTAGGCGGTGCCTCACTTCCCAATATTCGCGGATTTCAGGTGCAGTGAGGATGCGCGTTCTTTGGAATCCGTTTTGTATTACTTCAATTAATTTTTTTGTATTGCGGGTCGCTGTGTCCCGCCGTACGGATAACGTCTGGTGAGATGAGCTCCAGGTTGTCATTTGCACCGAATGTTGCTAATAAGGTTGTTGATTTGACCCAGTCATCCATGTTGTCAGACTCTATGATGTCTGATTGAGAGGGTTCAGCAGTGAATACATTTAGGAGTGCCTGTGAGATGTCTGCTGGGTTACGAGAGACAGCATCGGAGGCTCTGTGCCATTTCCCAGGGCAGTGCTGAATGGTGAATCTGTACCTGAGGGTTTTCTCCTTTAACCTGAATAATCGGGGTTTTGGATTTTACTAAGGTCTCTATCTCCGAATAATCCTTTTAGTGGCTCATGATCTGTAACCACTATGAGATTCGGGCAACCCATTACAAAAATCCGACATTTTCCAATGCCCATGCAATTGCTGCTGCTTCACCTTCAATAGGTGCATATCTGCGTTCAGCATCAATGCAGAATCTGCTACCAGCAAATATCAGGCGCCAACCTTCAGGGCAGCAAACTGGGGCTTTGTCAGTGGTGCATGAGCAATACTTCTGCAGAAGTAGGAAGCCCATTCCGTCTTTGCTCCAATCTGGGGCAAGGCAGGTTATTCTTTCTTTTGAAATGTTGCTGCCTTTTCGGACTAAGTCAACTATGACCTTCTTTGACTGCTGGAATGCATCCTCAAGGCTTTTTATTCCATGTATGTGAGTCTCGTTTTACGAGATCACGAAATGGAAGCATGACTGGGCTTAGTGAGTATGCCCAAGCGACTTGGTTGACCAGCCCAAACCATGATCTGCATCGGTGAGTGTTTTTGGTATTGGGAAGCTCAATATTGCCTCCAGCATGGATTTAGAAGGGGTTACACCAGAAGATGTTATTTGGAGGCCCCCAAACTGCACCGTGTCTTGGCAAAATTGGAATTTTTCTCTATTTATTACGATGCCGTTTTTTGCACAATGGAGGAGAAAATCGAAGGTGTGAAAAAAGGCTCCTTCGATGTCCGAGTCATAGAGTAGGGTGTCATCCACGATTTTTACTTTGCGGGGAATGTCTTTTATTACTTCATCATACCTTCGGGTGTAGGCATCGCCAGATGCTAGGTAACCTTGTGGCATTCTCAGGTACATGAACCTTCCCCATTCTGTGATGAAGGTGGTGAGTGGCTGGGACTCTTTATCTAAGGGGATGGAATGATATCCATCAACAGCATCCAACACTGTTTTCTTTTTGTTTAGGTGGCACTTGTAGTGCTAGCTGGAATGGTGACCCTGTATGGTGTGTTTCCGTTTGCACTGTGAATTCAAGTGTTGGTAGTCTATGGTTCTTCGTGGTTTGCCATTTTTTTTTGGCGGTAATTACCATAGTGCTACACCAATCAGTGGGCATGCCAACGGGTACTGGGGTTATGATACCCCTTTTCACATCTTCCCAAAGGGCCTGTTTTACGGGCTCTTTGAAGTGAAAAGGCACAGGAATTGGGTTATGTCTGGCTTTGGGGATTGCTCCTTCTTTGAGGTGTATATGTGCAGTGGGGCCAGACATCGGTGGGAATTCACCATTGTTCTTGAACGCCGTTTCGGCAAATTGATTAAATAGCCAATTCTTGAGCCTATCAATGTTTTGTTCTGTTGGGAGAAAAGGGAGTTTTTTGGGGCGTGTTGGAAGTTGTCCCTCGACTTTGCATTGTTTAGGGCTCACGTCCGATTTTTTATGTGTGCTTGTCGAGGGCATGTGTTGCATTGTTGTTTGGGGTAATATTGTAGTTGTTGGCTTCGGGAAGTCTTTGGACAGTATCCCTACATCAATGCAGGCTGCTTTGCTGAAGTATAGACGCTGAATCTTTTTTGCATATGTATAGGGCTTGTTTAGTTGTTCTTCCTTGGACGATGAATTCCACGGGGAGCCAACCCTGACATACAAGCGTAAAACCTCCCACAGCTCGGA